TGACCTATTTTTTTGAAAACCTGCTCTGTGATGGAATGCGAAATTACATTTTTAATTAGAATAATACTAAAAATAACTAACACACGGAGCCCTTAACTCTGTACCGGGTGCTACATGAAGTGCTTTACTTGTATTTGTTCATCGAAACTTCTCAGGAAACCTCTGTAGGGACTGGTATTATTCTTCTATCTGTGAGGAGCCTGAAGCTCCGAGAGGCTGTGTGACTCACCCAAAGTTACACAGTAATTCAGGGGCGGAGCCAGGATAAGAAGGTAGGCAGGTGGGCTCCACATTAGCATTCTGAACCGCTCACCAGGCTATGCTACCTGTCTAGAGAAGAGAAAGGAAAGGTGGGTCTTGTGCACTTAGATGGCCAGGAGCTGTGGAGGTGGCCCTTCCAGAAAAGAAAGGGCTGGGTCCCTGGTGAGGACCAGAAACGTCTGGGCCTGACGGATAACGAGGTGATCCTTCGCGGACTGCCAAAGGGCAAGGGGGTGCCCTCTGGGCACAGACACACAGGTGACAGACAAATACGGCCCAGCAGGCCTGGCTTCCCCTCAGGTACCTACAGATGTGTCTACAGCTGGCGCTTTTTCACCCTCTTTCCCTCGAATCCCTTCCTTTTCCTCTGGAAGCCTCATGCTTCCACCTGAGCTTTAGCCCACCCATCCTGGGACTCCCACCTCCTTCCTCCATTCTTTAGGTCTCTGTTAATCCATCTATTTCCTTCACAGGAAAATCAGCTCATCTTCTCTGGCATACTGGAGAGAGAGTGCATAGCAACTCTGCCCAAAGGATTGCTATGAAACTGTGGGGACCCTAAAACGAACCGGCAGGCCTTTGCAGAGACAGGAGAGGCAATTTGTTGTGGAGAGAGTTGGATGAGGGAAAATCCTGCCCTACGCGTGTTGGCTTGCATCTCCTGTCTCAAGTGTTTTCCCAGCCGGATGCTCTTTGTCTCCTTGAGGGTCTGTTCCGCTTTTGGGCCTCAGGTCAGGCCTCACTCCATCAGGCTCCCCAGGCTCTCAAGCTAGGGGCCCTCTACCAGCCCCACGCGCACCGGGGTCTGCAGTCCGGTGTTCGTGCACCTGGCTCGGCAGTCAAGCATCAGCCCTTGGGGCCGGCCCTGGGAGGCCCTTGGTAGACACTGGATGGATGGATGGATGGATGGATGGATGAGTGAGGCATCCTCTAAGCCAGCCTGAGAAGCAGCACTCAGGCTCTGGGGGTCTGGTGCACACTGAGCGGCAGCTGGGAAACTTCCGCAGCGGGCTCGCTGGCCCACAGCTGGCAGAGGGGCTGTTCACAGCTGGAACGACACCAGGCTCAGAGGCTTCATGTCACAAAGAAGGGCTGGGCACCGGAGAGGAGCGCCCCCCGCCCCCAACGAAGGCCAGCTCTCATGAGTGCCAGGTTCATGGGATATCCTCAGGGCGAACGAGAACTCAGCATAGGAATCGGCCTGAACCGAAGACATGGCCCGCTGAAAGCAGGCTTGCCTGGCGCGGCCAATGCAAGCTCCCCTCTCCGTGCGCCCTCTCTTGTTGAGCCTTGTCCAGCTGTCCCTGGGGCCAGGATGCCTGTAGAGTCTCTCCTCTCTTCCCACACTCAGCTCACTGCCCCTTGCTCCGGGAGGCCTCCCTCCCTGGGGGCACTGTGAGCCATCACTGTTCCTGTCCTTCCTCCGGGCAGGCATCCTCTGTACCTACAGCCTGGGGCTGCCCCTGACATTTCCAGTTTCCAGAATCCCCCTTCCCATGCCCCTCTTCTTGTCTGCTGGCAAACCCTGGGCCCCTCTTCAGGGCCAGTTCACATGTTTCCTCCCACTGACAGGCGCCCAGGCACTATTGGAGAACCTGGCGCTTCCCTCCAGGGCTCCTGTATCTTTGACACAACTTTCGCTGATGTGATAACAACAGCTCCCATCGGCATGGTGTCTACACGGCACCAGGCTGCGGCCAAACCCACCCCCCCCCCCCCCACCGCCACCCCACTCCAAGGTGGATCAGTGGCACCGTGTGGTTTCCAAGGTCGTGTTGTGGCACAAAGGAGGAGACAGAGTCGGGGATCTGGGTCCGGACTCTTCCCACCGAGCCTGCTGCCTGCCTCTTTGTCCTTCTCCAGAACCACCTTTCTGCCCTGTGGCCGTGACCCCAGAAGACAGGGTGGCTCATCGGGTATTTCCGGGCCTGGCCCGAAGCGGGGCTTCCATGAAATCCTGTTGGTGTAACGTGCCACCTGCAGGACGGCAGAGGGGAGATGAGGGTCTTGCCTGATGCGGCACAAAGTCCCCCCAACTCGGCTGACTGAAGGCAAGTCAGGAGGCCCGAGTCACTGCTATGGCTGTTGGAGGACGTGCCCAACCTTGGTGGCTGAAATTCTGGAGCCAGACAAGAACCATCAGAAATAAGGCCACTGTGGTTCCATTCTGGATAGACACGGGATGAATCAGGATTAGCCTACAAGTATGAGTTACCGCTGAATCAAGAGCGTATGAATTACTGAGCATCACTGAACATTGCAAAAACCCAGCACAAGGTTCCGGGGCTTCCTTCTGGAGGGCCGAGGATCTTCACAATCAGACAGGCAACCCTGCCGGCTCCTTCAGAGTGGAGCTCCCTGAGTTGTGACCCCGAACCCAGACATGGCTCCTGAGTGGTCACCAAAAGAAGGGGAAAAGCGGCCGCTGTACCCTCCACGCAGTCACATCGGCCACAGCCACCTTTTCACAGGCTCGGGGATTGAATACGAAGTGAGAGAAACAAGAAAGAATTACAGGGATCTTACAGGACCGCCTCCGTCACCGCAGGTCACAAACAGCAAGATCCCGTCACCGCAAGTCTTAAAAAGTTGGTGGCGACTAAGGAAACCAAAATGCAGATTAGATAGAGAATGAAGACGGGATTACTGATACTTTTCCAAAGCGTGACGACGGCATGGGGCCATGTGTGAATGTCCTCATTCTGGTTCCTTCCTCTTGGGCAACACACACTGAAGTATTGAGGAGTTTAGGGTCCCCGTGCCTGCAACTTAACTTTCAAATGGTTCAGCCAAAACAACGTACCTACTTCACCACCCTGGGTTGGGCAACGACTTCTTGAACATGACGCCAGAGGCACAGGCAACGAAAGAAAAAAGTAGGGAATTTGGACTACATCAAAATGAAAACCTTTTGTGCATCAAAGAACACTATCAACATAGAAAGGCAACCCACAGAATGGGAGAATATACTTGCAAATCACATAGTGACAAACAGTTCATGGCTAGAATATACAAAGAGCTCCCGCGATGCAACAACAATGCCACCCAAAACATCTGATTGAATAAATGGAAAAAGTAACGTGAATGGACACTTCTCCCAGGAAGATATACAAATGGCCAGTAAATGCATGAAAAGGTGCTCAGCACCACTGGTCATTAGAGAAATGCAAACCCTTTCGGGTGTAAACCCAAAAGTACCAAAAGCAGGGTCTTGAAGAGATAGTTGCACACGCATGTTCACAGCAGTCTCATTCACAACAGCCAAGAGGTAGACGCAGCCTGGGTGTCCGTTGACAGATGGATGCATGAACAAAATGTGGTCTATCCATGCCATGGAATAGCATCCAGCCTTCTAAAGGAAGGAAAGTCTGACACAGGCTGCAACAGGGATGAGCCTTGAGAACACGGGTCAGTGAAACGAGCCGGTTACAAAAGGACAAATACTGTATGATCACACTCGTATGAGGTCCCTAGAAGAGTCCAATTCATAGTGACAGAAAGGGGGACGCTGGGTGCCAGGGGCTGGAGGCGACGGGGAGCAGAGCGTTATTACTTAGTCGGGACACAGTTTCAGTTTGGGCAGATGAAGAAGCTTTGGAGACGGGTGGCGGGGACGACTGTGCAACGCGGTGAGCGTGCTTAAGGCCACCAAGCCCTACGTTTAGAAATGGTTAAGATGGTAGGTTTTAAAAAATGAATTACTGGGATCTTATGAAGATCAAAAGCTTCTGCTCAGCAAAGGAAACAACCAACAAAACTAAAAGGCAACCAACGGAATGGGAAAAGATATTTGCAAATGACATATCGGACAAAGGGCTAGTATCCAAAATCTATAAAGAGCTCACCAAACTCCACACCCGAAAAGCAAATAACCCAGTGAAGAAATGGGCAGAAAACATGAATAGACACTTCTCTAAAGAAGACATCCGGATGGCCAACAGGCACATGAAAAGATGCTCAACGTCGCTCCTCATCAGGGAAATACAAATCAAAACCACACTCAGATATCACCTCACGCCAGTCAGAGTGGCCAAAATGAACAAGTCAGGAGATATAGATGTTGGGGAGGATGTGGAGAAACGGGAACCCTCTTGCACTGTTGGTGGGAATGCAAACTGGTGCAGCCACTCTGGAAAACAGTGTGGAGGTTCCTCAAAAAACTAAAAATAGACCTACCCTATGACCCAGCGGTAGCACTGCTAGGAATTTACCCAAGGGATACAGGAGTATTGATGCATAGGGGCACTTGTACCCCAATGTTTATAGCAGCACTCTCAACAACAGCCAAATTATGGAAAGAGCCTAAATGTCCATCAACTGATGAATGGATCAAGAAATTGTGGTTTATATACACAATGGAGTACTACGTGGCAATGAGAAAGAATGAAATATGGCCCTTTGTAGCAACGTGGATGGAACTGGAGAGTGTGATGCTAAGTGAAATAAGCCATACAGAGAAAGATAGATACCATATGGTTTCACTCTTATGTGGATCCTGAGAAACTTAACAGAAACCCATGGGGGAGGGGAAGGAAAAAAAAAAAAAAGAGGTTAGAGTGGAAGAGAGCCAAAGCATAAGAGACTCTTAAAAACTGAGAACAAACTGAGGGTTGATGGGGGGTGGGAGGGAAGGGAGGGTGGGTGATGGGTATTGAGGAGGGCACCTTTTGGGATGAGCACTGGGTGTTGTATGGAAACCAATTGGACAATGAATTTCATATATTGAAAAAAAAAGATGGTAGGTTTTATCTTCTGTGTATATTACCGCAATAAATTGGAAAAGACTTAAGCTACGCATCCATATTGCTATTTCCCTATGTAAGCACAGATGAAAAAAGTATGGCGTAACATTTCCCATTTGGTGAATCACGGGGAAGCGTACGTGGGACTGTGTTGTGCTGTTATTGTCCACTTTCCTGTAGGTTTGAAATTCTCCATAATTAAAATCGGAGGAGAAAGCTCCTTTCCCCACAGTCCCAGTTTTCAGGTTCTTTGGTTTCCCTTTGCCAGTAGGAGACACACGTCCCTTGGTAGGCTTGGAGCAGGAAGACGCTGGTGGGCAGAGTCCCCGTTTGGGGCTGGTGTCTGGATCGGCCGCTTACGCCAAGGCTTGGCAAGTCGGCTGCCTCTGATCGTCCTGTAAATGGGGGTCCAAATCCTAGCTCCCGGGTGGCTTTGAGGTGACCGATGGTGTCTTTGAGCGCATTTGGCCCAGGTGGTATTCCCATGGGAACCCAGCCAAGCTGGTGGCTTCTTTCTTCTTGGATGATGTGACGCTGCAGGGCAGGGAGAACGCGTCAAGGTCTCGGGTCTGGCTGGCAGCTGTGACCACCCCTGACAGTCTGGAGAGTCCACCGGCTTCAGGAAGTCCGCCGGCTTGTGTGCTCAGGGCTGCGAGAGTCCGCAGCGGGAGGAGGGCTGTGAGCAAGAAACATGCGAGGGGGCAGGGGGCAGGTCAGCGGACCCCTCGTGGGCAGGGCATAAGACCAAGGTAGTCACATCGTCGTGCTCCGTGCTGGCAGCCCCCATATGGAGCTAGACATGACAAAAGACATTCTAATGGCCTCTTGTGGTTTTTTTTTTTTAAGGCACCAGTAAATTCTTAGCTGCTTCAAATAGACAAGTTGTCTGTGGGGAATGTAAGCTAGGAGTGATGGAGAGTCGCAAAATAAAATTGGCTGACCAAACTGGGCACACTGGAAAGTTAATAACCGGTTCTCAGAGGGGATTTCTGTGGGAGGCTGTGTCCTGGGGACAGAGTGGGAGGCTGAGGCCTATCTTTAGCTGTGGTTACAATTAGTCAAAAGCCTCAGGGATGGCCGAGCTTTCCAAGGCCTGGCAGGAGCCTTCTGGAGGGCCACGGCAGATACAGCCTCCCTGCGGGCGGGGGTGGGAAGCGTGCAGACAAGAAGAGCTGGGGAGCCTCATCCTCAGCGCTGGGTGCCTCTGAAGTGCTGGGTGGGGGTCTGGAGAGGCGCCCACCTGGAGGAAAGACAGGAAGAGAGCTGGTCACTCCCCACAGCTCTCTGGGCGCCTGGATCTCACCATCTGGCCCTGCCGGCGTGACTGCCAACTCGCCAGGATGCGCTCCGAGGGCAGCCAGCACGTTGCGAGAAAACAGACTTAGTTCAGAAGACACATGGCCTCTGTGTACAAACAGCGGATGCCCCGCCTTGAGGGTATGCTCGGAATTGCGGCCACTGCTTTTTCCCAGTCTCCACCAGTTCACAGGCTGAAGGACAGAGCTCAGAAAAAGCGGTGCGTTCTGTCTCTGTGCAGTCGGGGGAGGGGGGGGCGGTCGGGGGCTCGAGGGTGTGAGGAGATCATCGGCCACCTCCCCTCTTCACCTCTTGCCCCAGTGCCTTTGGCCTGAGAACTATTTAGAACATTCAAGGCTTCTCAGAGTGGGAGGGATTCATCACATTCTGAAGAACCCACTGTTGAGGGCGGAATGATGAATATATATGGCAGCACTCCAGTGTTCTGACCAAGGATGCTAACCATGTAGACAAACATAAAAAATGCCCAAGTGGCAACTTCTTTGTTCTCAGGAATTTAGTGCCAAGGGCACTTGGCTCAGAGTAGAGCGATCTGGGCTCAAACCCTTACTTAGTGGCTGCGTGTCCTTGGGTAAGTGACTCGCCCTCTCTGGGGCGAGTTTCCACAAATGCAAATACTGGTAAGAAGACTGACTTCCGGGAGATGTGGCCGGACAGAAGGGCTAGGGCGTCTGACACAGAAGAAGGGTACGACAGTCACGCACTGGCCAGTATCGAGACAACACGAGGCATTTTCGGCCTTCATTCCCGGAAGGCTTTGCACACGCTGGGAGAACGTGCCTCCGTGGGCTGGTGGCCGTGAGGGATGTTGGTTCGCGAGGGGTGTCATGCTAACGGGCCTGGGTGGGCAAAACCCACACAAACACCGTGCTTTTGACATTCCAACGACAGAGACAGCCTGCTTCCCCAGAGACAGACTTCCAAATCTTCCCAGAGCCCGTGGCTCCTTCCACCGGGTCCTGCTTTATAGTAAGCTTGTCAGGCCAACGTTTCTTTTCTTTCTGGGGCTTTTAGAGCCGCGGGGTTCCATGGGAAATATCTTAGCTAAAGATGTGCCTGAAGACACCCTGATGTTAGATCCGGGGAGGTGCCTTTTCTGAACACATTTTCCCCCTGGGCGTTGCTATTTTTAAGGCTCAGCAGAATGTTCAAAGAGAGCCTCTGAGTGGCGACAAGCAGAGGGACTGGTTCTCTGCACCGAGGAATGGAACCTCTCGCTCCTTGTTTATTCCAACTGGAGTCCAGCTTTCAGGCTGACCACCGTCCTGCTTTCCTGGGAGGCTTCCCAGCAGGGAAATGTTTCCGCATTTCCAAAGAATCACCTCTCTCTGGGGCACCTGGGTGGCTCAGTCGGTTAAGCGTCCGACTTCAGCCAGGTCACGATCTCACACTCCGTGAGTTCGAGCCCCGCGTCGGGCTCTGGGCTGACAGCTCAGAGCCTGGAGCCTGTTTCCGATTCTGTGTCTCCCTCTCTCTCTGCCCCTCCCCCGTTCAAGCTCTGTCTCTCTCTGTCTCAAAAATAATTAAAACGTTAAAAAAAAAAAAAAAAAGAATCACCTCTCTTGTCTGAGTGGTCAGAAACCTGAGAAATGAGGGGTGCCGGCTCCACGTTCACACCCGACTCCAGGCTTTTGTAAGGCCTTCAGTAGAATTTTCCACTATTTCAAAAATGAGATAGAAGCTCCGAAATTTACCACTTTTAAACAAAGAGGGTTCGGAATCACTTCGTTATCTTTTTTTTTTTTTTTCCTTCCTTTTTTTGCCCAAGTACCTTCAGGTGGTAAGATAAACAATTTGGATTTGCACCTGGATGTTTCATCTCAAAGATGTCAAAGGGGGCGTCCCCTCTCTCTCTCTTTCTCTCTATCTCTCATTGTTGGACTAGCACAGCAGAGGCAAAGATAATTGGTTTTGCTAGAGAATGCACATTCAAGCCAGAGCCATTATTCGGGATGCCTGCTGGTGGAGGAGCCCCTGCCCCCTCGGATCCCCTCACAAAGTGAATCCTGCACACAGGGCAGTGGCCCCCCACACGGGCTGTGGGCACCAGTGGCTGTAAAACAGGAAAAAGACCTTAGTGACTGTAAATAGTAGCTGGAAGGAAGCAGCCAGGCATGGGCTTCTGAATCAGATGGGTTCAGCTCTGGCCCTGGTGAGGTGTGCCACTTTGGACAAATTAGACCCCTACGTAACCCCTGAGCCTCAGTTTCCTTATCTGTGAAATGGGGTTAATGTGGATCTCACCCATGCACATCAGGATTAAACCAAGCAGCATGAGTTTGACTTTGGTGTTTCTGGGTCCCAAAGTGGTGCCTTTTGACTATATAGATTGGCCTTTTGAAATTTCCTTTCCTTTTCTTTTTTTTTTTTTTACTTTTTTTTCAATGTTTATTTATTTTTGGGAGACAGGGAGAGACAGAGTGTGAGTAAGGAAGGGGCAGAGAGAGAGGGAGACACAGAATTCAAAGCAGGCTCCAGGCTCTGAGCTGTCAGCATAGAGCCCGACACAGGGCTCAAACCCACGAACTGTGGGATCATGACCTGGGCCGAAGTCGGACGCCCAACCGATGGAGCCACCCAGGCGCCCCTATATTTTCTTTTCTTTACTCAAATACTCTTTGATCCTGGTGGGTCAAATCTGGCCCCAAAATGTGGCTTTGGGGGGCACTGTGCATTTTAAAAATTAGACTAAAAATTTCCAAGGAATGTGGATAACTGGGGTGGATGGGACCCCCGTGACATCCTACAGGTACCTCCCCATCCCTACCACCTAGGGTCTCTCACTGGTGTCATTCATAAACAGGTGGCCCTCAGAGGCCCGGGAGCCAGACTCTTGATCAAGAGTTCTCCCTCCCACACATTACGGAGTGTTCCCAATTAGTCATACCCTCTGAGTGGCTGAGAGGGCCAGCAGGTCACATTTAATAATGACACTAGAGTCTGGGTGCTCAGGTCTCAGGGACAGCCACTGGAATACCACAGCACCCTGCCCTATTTTCCAGGGTCCTCGGGGAGCCGATGATCCCATGATTTCAAATTCCTAAGGCAAGAGGGGAAACTAGGCAGAAGAGTGGTAAAATGATTTGCTTAATCCTGAAGACAATTCCAGTATCTTTCAGATGCCCAGGGTTGCCTGTTGTCCACGGGCTATAAGCCACAGGGGTCCTTGCCCCCACTGACAGAGCAGGCTGGGGACCACACCCACCTAAGCTCTCAGGCCAGCCCCTCCAGTGGGTGGGCCCAGGCAAATCCTCTGGACCTGCCCAGTCCCAGTCAGCTCATCGGCAACATGGGGCTGCCGTGCGGCTGGAAGGGCACATAGCACCGGCCTGGCACACAACACAAGGGCCCATTCAAAAGCAGGGTGCAAGGTGCTGGGCTTTAGCTACCTGGGAAGTGAGCCAGCTCGCTGAACCTTAATAGACCAACCCAAATCTCTGGGGTTTTGGACTACACTCTGGCCCGGTATCTCAGGCACGTGAGTTGACCTTGACCTTTTGTCCCTGCTGACCTCGGTGCCTGGTCCCAGAGGTGGTGACATCAACCAGATGGCATAACCCCCAGCCCCTGTCTCTCAAGGCCACCTTACCTTGTCTTCCTGGGCTTCTTTCGGCGGGTTTTGCTTTTATTTTTATTTTTTTTTAATTTTTTTTTCAACGTTTATTTATTTTTGGGACAGAGAGAGACAGAGCATGAACAGGGGAGGGGCAGAGAGAGAGAGGGAGACACAGAATCGGAAACAGGCTCCAGACTCTGAGCCATCAGCCCAGAGCCCGACGCGGGGCTCGAACTCACGGACCGTGAGATCGTGACCTGGCTGAAGTCGGACGCTTAACCGACTGCGCCACCCAGGCGCCCCGGGTTTTGCTTTTAAAAATAGTAGCACAGCTCTGCTTGGGGGGCTGTGACGTGTTTCGGGCAGGGCGTTGGCCCCCATGAGAAGGGGTTCACGACGTGCCTTATGATCTGACCTCAGTTTACCCCTTGCCACTCACCTGCTGCCCTCTGTGTTGTGGCTGAACCACAGTAAATGGGCTGCCCTCCCTTCAAATGAGGACTTTACTGGCATGGTGACCTCTACCAGGAACCCTTTCCTCTTGAACCCCCTTCAGCTCCTACACCAGCTCCCACCTCCCAACACACAGACATATGACTTTTGGCCTGGCCTGAATCCAATCTGCTACCATCATCCCAATTGGCCCCCCAGAAATTGCCCTTCTCTATGCGGAGTCCGTGAAGTTGGGTGGGATTGACACCACCCCTTTTGCTGGACAGTCAGCCAATAACAATCAGCCCTGACACGTTTGTTGGCTTTGCAACAGTCTATCTTTCTGCTGCAGTTGCTTAGGAAAGCTGCTGGTGGCCCCCTCTGCTTCCACTTGGGGAAAGTTTGCCTGGGAATGAAGCCAAACTAGGGGATATGAGAGCTGGGGAGCCACAGACGGTGAATAAGAGTTCTGAGCCCCTGGATCCAGCCATGCCTGAAAGCCTTTAGTTCCATTCATCAATAAATCCCTCTTTTTGCTTGAATCACTTTGCTTTGGGTTTCTGTCACTTGCAGCCACAAGAGCCCTGGCTGATTCACGCAACTTCATCCGGTTTGCTCCTTATGTTCAGGGCATAGCTCAGGTATCCCAAGCACCTGTCCTTTCCCACCCAGTCCTGATGCCACATGGCACCTCCCGCATCTCTATATCCCCATCATTTCATGAAGGGCCTCAGTGACAGGGTGGCAGAAAGCCACGGACAGATCGAGAACGCAGCTTTTCCAACCGGGGGCTGCTGCCTTCAGTCCCTCCCCAGCCTCGGCTCCCCCCAGGGTTTCAGAAACACTCTCACCTCCGTCTTATTCCGAGAGAGCACGCTGGAGTCGATTGGGCCCAGGGACATGTTTGGCAGGACAAGGTTGAGAACTTTCGCAGCAAAGACCTGGCGGGAAAGGCAAACAAGGGTGTGAGCTCAGTGGGATCCGTGCCCAGCTCTGCCCACGGGACAGTTTACGGTACATTAAGGAAAGTGACACCCAAGCTGAACATCAGCCAGGTTCGCTTCCCAAGGCTCAACACCCCTGCTCTGATTCAGCCAGCCTCTAGTTAGTCTGGCTCGGATCCGCCGTGGGTGAGCAGGGCGGGAGGCGGGCCACCATGGCTGACAGCAGGAACGCCGTGTCTAATTTTTGCCTGCTCCGGATCCTGTGCGGTCGCCCTCCCCAGTCATCCACCCATTGTAATTTTGAATTCTTTGCAGGAGCTGCCTAGCTGAGTTCTTCTGCGCGAGTCCCTTCTCTGGGGATCCTAAAAATATAAAGCAGGAGCAGAATCACCCAGATCACCTGTGAGGCAGGATAGCTCAGAAGGCCCTGGAGGAAACTGCTCTGATCAGAAAGAATCTGTTGACTGCCTTGGTTTCTCCCGGAGGGAAACAGAAATGGCTAACCAGCCTGATTAGGAGAAGCATGGCAGAGGGAAAGAGACCCGATCTGATCCCTGGCTGTGCTGTCTTGTGCACTCAGGCACGAGATCTGAACATCACAGACCCTCTGTTTCCTTAGCTGCTAATGGTGCTCCCCCCAGAGGACCACTGTGTGCAGAAGCACCAGGCACGCAGTAGGTGCTTAATCCATGCTCCCTGAACTTGACCCCGATGCGGGTACAATCCTCCCTCCCCACCCCATCTCTCCTGCAGGATCTGGTGTTCACCCAGGAACAGTGTGAGCCTGATGTCACATGTCTGCCTGCAGAGAGAGGGGGGCCGTTCTCATTTCTGCGTGGCGCACAGACACTCAGGGGTGACAGGTGCGATCCCACAAGCGAGCTGTGAAACGCTGAAATCAGGACGGCAGGGAAGGTGGCGAGTGGTGAATTCTCGGTCTGTGTCGAAGGCACACATCACGGAGCTAAGGAGCGATGGCCCTTTGTGCCCTTGATGAGGGCAAGGGCGCTAACATCTGCCGAGTGGCAATCTTTGGTGTGTGGCACACAGCTCTAGGCCCTCGGTCTGTCAATCCTGACAGACGCCATGAGGTCAGGGTTCATCCTCATTTAACAGATAAGGAAACAGGCTAAGCCCCACACCACGCGGCCAGCTGGGATGGGGGTGAGGGCCTGAGCCAGACCACTCTTTCCTTTCATGTCCCTGCCCTTCATTATTCTATCTCTGTCTGTACACATGTAACTGGTGGTCTAACCTTGCCTGTGCATGACCCCAAACAGCGGCCACTGAGATTCCCTGTGCCGACACGGGGGGCTGTCCTCCTCAACCCCCTTAACACTCAGAACTACAAAACGTCCTATGGGGGCGCCTGGGTGGCTCCGTTGGTCGAGCATCCGACTTCCGCTCAGGTCATGATCTCACAGCTCCTGAGATCGAGCCCCTCGTCGGGCTCTGTGCTGACCGCGTGGAGCCTCCTTGGGATTCTCTCTCCTTCTCTCTCTGCCCCTCTCCCACTCACGCTATCTCAAAATAAATAAAACCTTAAAAAAAAAAAGGATTAAAACATCCTATGTCCTCAGGCTGGACAAGCAGGATATAACCTCACACGGTCTGTCAGATGGCCAGGGATCAGGCACAGAAGAAAAAGGGCTCTGGTCCTGAAGGAGTCCGGGTGCGTGACGCTACCGTGAAATCCACACGCTCAGCTCTCTGCGTTTCAGGCAAGGATGGCAGCTCGCTGCCTCCAAGACCAGCCTGGCTTCCTGCACCCCACGCCTGCTGTCCAGGCCAGCAAACCCCGTGCATGTCGACTCACCGCCATCCACGTGCCAGGAACTAGGCCAAGCCCTGAGCCGACTTGTGACAGTCTAGTGTAGCGATACAAGGAAATCCAACTGGGAGCCCTGGGTAAGTGCTCAGCCGCACAGTCTGCAGCCTCATGGGATGGACATGACCCGTTGGGCGGGGTCAAGAGATAGGTGGGGCTGTGGGTCAGCTCCATGGACACGCACAGGACCAGGAGGGCTTGGACAGAGCTCTGGGGGCTCTGAGGAAGGAGAGAGTTTGGGTGTTTCTAAACACGGACCCAATGCCTATGAACTCCAGGAACTGGAGGTCCCTCAGGGAATCTAAAGTCAGGAGCTGGGATCTGTGCTTTCAAAGGTTAAATACATGTTTCAATGCACAGAAACCACAGCAGATAAGGGGTGACTGCCACAGGCAGGGAGGTGATGGGCTGTGTTCACTGGGCTCCTGGTGCTTTGGAAGGGTGGACTTGCCAGGACTTATTTCCTCCAGCAGTAGTGGCCCAAAGGCCACATTATTAGGGCGGAACTTAATGTGCCTCCCAGAGTTTGCAGAACTGGCGTCTAGATGGTTTGCTGTCCTCAGTGACTCTTGACGCAGCTCCCTGAATGGACAGGACGGCTGACAGTTGACCGTGTGTGACCCTGCCACACCTAGGAGTGGCCAGACACGTCTGGCCTGGGTGCCTGTGCGGTCTGGCCCAGCCTTCTCAAAGACACCGCTGGTTTTCTGCCATTCGGTTTCCTACCCGTTCCCAGAGGAGATGGCCAGTGGCCAGGAAAAGGGCCAGGGGCACGGCACCTTGGCACCCACCCTGCAACAGAAGTCAAGGACAGAGACTGCACAACATACATTCCAATGCTCCTAAGCCCACCACCAGCTTCCTCATTTGCCAACAATTTATGCTTTGTGGCCCGCCACCTGATTCTGCATGGACCTGGGCACACAGATGCCAGCCATTGGTGAAGACACAGACTTACCTTTATCTTTGAATCTGTGCTCCTGCCACTGATGCTTTTTTTTTTAAGTTTATTTATTTTGAGAGAGAGAGAGAGAGAGAGAGAGAGAGAGAGAGAAGCAGAGAGAGAGAGAGAGAGAGAGTCCCAAGCAAGCTCTGTGCTGCCAGCGTGGAGCCCAATGCTGGGCTCGATCTCACAACCACGAGACCACGACTGAGCCGAAATCAAGAGTCAGACGCTCAACTGGCTGAGCCACCAGGTGCCCCATCCACTGGTGCCTCTTAAACCAAAACATTTATACTCCAAAATGCCAAGATCCTTATTTCCAGCACAAGATGCTGACAGTTTAGGCTTGACAAGGGTCAGAAAAGGCAGGGCTCTGGTTCGAAGCATCCTTGCTTTGGGTTCACAAGGCTGAGGACAAGAGGGCCAGGAGGGACTCTATCTCAGGAGAGGATGACAGTCCTCTCTCCGAGCGAGCACTTGTCTTTCTCCTAACAGGGCTTTCTGCAGCAAAAGAGAACTTTTAGGAAAACAGAGTTGTAGGGGAAAAAAAACAAAAACAAAAAAGAGGAAGGCCATTTCTGGGGAAGTATTTGCTTTGCACAAAATGGACAATGCCAGGGTTTGGTCTCTGGAGGAAACCATTAAGGGAAGATCAGCTGGCCGCTGCTCCTCCCCCATCAGAGTACCATAAGCCAAATGCTGGGGAGACCGCCTCCTCCTGTAGCTGCCCAAGGCGTGATCGCCCAAAGAACGAGCCGGGGAGACACGGCCAGGATGATGATATCGTGGCTCAGGACTGGAGGAGGCTGGGCCACTGGACTGTCTAGCCATATGCTTCCCTCCACCAGGACTCCCAGGGCAGTGGCCCCTCTTGCCTCTCTGAGGGCGCTGGAGCTGGTGGGCTCAGGATGGACCAATGCGCCTAAAAGGACCAGCTCATGACAACAAAGCTCCAGGGGTAGAGTGCCATGGAAGACACTGGTGCTGGAGCGAGGAGGACTGGGGATTCGGTCACAGACCCAGATGAGGGGGCAGACACCTCCAGGAACGCAGGGTACAGATATCGCTACTCTTTCTCTGTTCAGCCCTGCAGGGGCTTGGTGTGGAGAGAGTGCTAAGCTCTGGGTGTGAGTTGACACCAGAGAGAGTCCACGGAGAGGCCTGGGCCAGACACACTATTCAAAGGGCAGGCTCAGGGAGGGAGACTTGACTTCAGGGATTCCCTTGAAGTGACTTGTGGCACCGTGCTTTCCCAGGAAGGTAGCATCTTTGATTGAACCCTCTGTTCCTTCCGTCCCATTAGCATACTGGTAGTGGGCGCGATGCCCCCATCCGGCCCTATCCCTTCCTGATTTTCCATGGCCTCCCTGCTCTACGCGTGGTCCTCAGACCAGCAGCACCAACAGCTCCTGGGGACTCTGGCCTGCCGGATCAAGGTCTGCATTTTTACCGGACCCCAGGGTGTTCTTGTGTGCCCTGAGGTGGGGGGGCTGGCAGCTGCTGTGCCTCAGGGAAGCACCACGAATGCCTCTTCCCAGGCCCCAGCATGAGAGATTCTGATTGAATTAGTCTGAGGTGGGGCCCTGGTGTCAATAATTGTGTGTGTGTGTGTGTGTGTGTGTGTGTGTGTGTGTGTGTGTTTTAAGTTCCCTGGGTGATTCCAGTATGCAGCCAGAGTCAAGAAAGTGTTCTTGTCTTCTCCCAGTTAGGACAGGGTTGGGGGTGCCACACAGATATCTCTGAAGGGTACGCTGCCCTTTTGAAGGAGCTGTGATGAAAGACAGAGATGTGTGGACAGCCCTGACCCTCAGCTCTTTTTCTAAAGCTGCGTGATAACTTCCAAACCACATTTCTAACAAGACGAACCTGGGTAGAGGCAAATCTTTTGATGATGATACTATGGCTTAAAAAAAACCACAAAAACCAAAAGAATCAGGTGCTTTAGCCTCTTCCTCCCCCCCCCCCAGCCCCCCCCCCCCCCCCCGGCATCCGAGAAGGATGCAGTTGCAAAAGGTATGCCCTTCCCTGCTGTTCTTTTAGGGGTTGTTTATTTCATTAGCCTAATGGCTAATGGGGGGAGGAAAGTGTGAGGTGGGACAGAAAGAACTAATAAGCAGGGGCAGCAGGTTGATTGTGGCGACGCAGGAAGCCAGGAGGGCTGAGCAGGGCGTATGAGGTAAGGGAGGGTCACGGAGTAAGGACAGTCGGGGTGGAAAGAGCCTGAGAGACCCCACTCCCCGAGGATCAACTTTGTCCAGGCTGCTGCTGCTTCCCACCATGAGCTCCCTAAGCCTCCACCGTCAGCCGGGAGAGCCCCACACCTGCTTCCAAGGGTAGGCAAAGGAAGCCGACAGAGGTGCCGGGGAGGGGTGCGGCTCACCCAATAAGAAGTTGAAATCGAAGAGAATACCACTCTCGTTGCCATTTCGACCACGCTCTTCGGATAATCCTGCGGGAGTGTGGATAAAGCCTCGGATCCAGCTCAGGGGAGGGGCAACTGCAGACGGCCTCCCTTGATGTGAGACCCCCCCCCTCCCCGCCACAAAATGACCCTCGCAGGTGAAATTGGGTTTGTGCCACCTTAGAGCCCCCAGTGGTACTGGTTTAGCAGGGACCCCAAGTCTCATCACCGGAGGATAACCGGGGTGGGGGTGGGGGCGGGACCTACAGATAATGGGCACAAAGTTACCAGACCCCAGCCCTGGAAACAGGAGACTGGAAGCCAGGCAAATTTGGATTCGAACTCTGGTTCTGAATCACCAAGAAAGCCTGTGGTCCTCAGCTTCTCCATTTCTCAAATGGGGACAATGAAACAAAGTTCTAAGGGCCGCTGTGGGGGTTACCCAAAACCTGGTTCCCACAGGGCTCAACTCTAACTGCCCCACTGCTTTCTGGCCCCAGGAGAAGCTCAACAAATCCTTGCTGGTTGACTGAAGAGAGAGCACTTACTGATGCTGTTCCGAATGAAGACTTCGGGAAAAGTATGTGACCGGCAGCTTTGCCACAGGCATCACGGTCACGGCCAGAACCCCAAGTTAGTGCACCCACAAAAAAGGACAACTCTCCCAGAAGTGAGGCCCATCTCCTGATGAGTGAGGGACCAGAGCGTGTCACCGGGCCTTGACATGCCCTTGGGGCATTCCTGGATTAAGTGCAGTGCCCATCACTTTAAATAGTAGTGATTTGCACAAATGCCTTTATTGATCCAAAAGGATTTAATGGCTCCCTAAGATCATTTTTAAGCTTCTGCCCGTGAAAGACTTGACATGAGGGAGGGAATTGTAATCACTATCTTCTGAAGTGGCTCCAGAAAGTTGACCTGTGCAAAAAGGGCCAAAACTCCAGGTCTTTTGTGAGGGTGACACCCATGCAAGGGTCGGCCCAGAATTTCTTGGTGGAGGGAGTGCACCGTCAGACCTGCCAAGACTAGAAAGTGCCCTGTGCCTTTTCTGCAGGCCAAGCTGGGGAGGATCGAGTACCTGTTCACTGCTGAATGCCCAATGCCTGACACATAGCAGGGACTCCCCAGAGATGTGTGTGGGGGGGGGAGATGGCTCATTCCTTGAATGCCAAGTGTTTAGACGTCTGAACCCCATGGCTCAGTCGGTTAAGCATCCAACTTTGGCTCAGGTCATGATCTCGTGGTCCGTGAGTTCGAGCCCCACAGCAGGCTCTGTGCTGACAGTTTAGAGCCTGGAGCCTGTTTCAGATGCTGTGTCTCCCTCTCTCTCTGACCCTCCCCTGTTCATGCTCTGTCTCTCTCTGTCTCAAAAATAAATAAACGTTAAAAAAATATTTTAGAAGTCTGAACCCCAGCTACGACAGGCGCAGGCACCTACAGGAGAGAGGTAACAACTCCCCAAGGTGCCTCATAGCTGCCAGATTCATGGGCCAGTTCATGACCACAGTTTAAGTCCTGGTCCCTGGATCTAACTTTAAATATGTTTGAAAGAGTGGCAATTTCCCATGCTCCTGCCCTTTTTCCCTCCATCCCCAGTCCCTCCACTCCCCCAAGGGCCTTTTGGAGCCTAGTGACTAAAAACAGATGAGAACTGGGCTAAAGTCAAGGGAAGCTGACCTCAGGCATGTTTTGGGGTAAAGGGAGCATCCTGCTTTGCTCTCTGGCCTGAGCTGGGGCACAAGCTGACCTTGAGCAAGACAATTGGCCTCGTTTCCTTGTCTGTAAATTGGGAATGGTTTTCTCTCCTTGCTGGGTGGCGACAGAAAGGAAATGAGACAATACGAATCATGCACCGTGTGCAAGGTTCATAGCGGCCCTCTTCTCTCTACTTGGCCAGGTGCCCTGGCTGACAGGGAGTAGAAGCATCTGGAAGCATTGGGCCGGTTCCTGACCCTGGACCCCAAGGGACAGTGTCCAGGCAAGAAGCAGAGAAGATCATTTACAAGATTACCCTCCTGGCAGGCTGAGCCCCTGTCCTGACCCTAGGCACTGCCCAGGGGGATTTGGGGTGTCCCCTGCTCCCAGAGAAGGGAGTGGCTCTGTGATCTGTCCCACGTTGCTGCCTGCTATCCCAGGGCAAGGCCAAGTGAGGACGTCCAACTCTAGCTCACACACCATACTAGCTGGGCAGTCAAGGGTTTCACCTCTATACCCAGGAATGACTCCAGCCCTAATGCCCCCAGGGTCTGGGACATGGAGCCGGTCCCCATGAAATGGCCTCATAAGCAGCCGAGACTCATTCTGATACACTGGATGTTGTGTCCAAATTTCTCCCGCTGTTACTTCCCTTATGCAACCACATTCTAAACACAGACAGTGTTTGGGGGCCAGAAGCCTCTGTCCTCCTTGTCTGTTCTCCAGGCTAAATATACCCCAGCTTGTTGAAAAGGGAACACAGAGGTAAGACCCAGATGTGTGCAGGGTCCGGTGTGTGTGTGTGTGTGTGTGTGTGTGGGTATCTGGCAGGGGGATCTAATGCTCTTACATTCCAGGGGGTGGGGCTGTCATCTTCCACATGCCTGTCTATACTCAAAGACTCCGATGCCTCATGCTGCCTGCTTTGATGCTTTTGCGAATCTCTCCAGCAGGAGTTTGGTGCCATCAAATAAATCCTTGGAACAGTCCACGGGCTGAGCTCTGGGAGAGGAGGCATGAGGCCAGGACTTGGCCCTGGGAAGCCCGCTCCTCTGCCTCAGTTTTCTCAGGTGGGGGTGGTGTCTGAGAACTTGTTGGAAGACACAGACCTCACCCAACCCAGGACCTATCCTGAGCTCTTCTCCTTAAACCTGATGGGGAAGGAGCCACACAGGTATCGCTAAGTAAAACAACCAAATTAAAGCCAAACCCACAAAAACAAAAAAGCAAACCAAAAGAACAAAGCCGACAGAAAGCACAGAGAGGTGTATTCTCATCTGTGTGAAACACAGGAACGAATGGAGGGTGCATGGGCAGAGATGGACACTCGGGCTGTCTGCCTCCCCTGGGCCGGGAGACTGCTTGCTGCATAGCCTCATCTTTCAAAGTTTGAACTGTATGAATGTGATATTCTAACGATGTTTAAATTTTAAACAGAGATTCTCCTAAACTCTTTCAGGAAGGTTGTCAGACAAGACTAGATGTGTGCGGGGTAATCAAGTCATCTGGGGGCGGGTAGGCAAATGAATCACAGAGCCCGTCAGGCAAAATTGCCCAAGACCCAGGGGCAGCAACAGATTTCATGGTGGGGAGGACCTGTCCTCAGGTCTGGGGGCAACAAGAAATCCAATTTGTCTCGGTTAATAAGAGGAGACCAGCACCCCCCAGGGATGGCTGGCTCCTGATGTGACAAGGTGATCTATTAGCACAGGGCTCGGAGAGGTCACGGTGGTGGCCTCGCCCAGAAGTTCCACCTCCGCCAGTGACTCCGAGAGGAAGCCTTGTGGCCCACCTCCGGGTCCTGCTACCATGACCCCCTTGTGCACTGTATCCGGAAAGCCCCACGCTCTCCAGCATGTCTCTAAGGGAAAACATCCACGGTAGAACACGCCTATTTTCTTCCGTGGGGAAACATCCTAGATGGAGAATGGACAGCCCCGGATTCAAATCAATCACACAAGCTGTGCGATCCTGGGGAGTCACTCACCCTGCGCCAGCCTCAGCGTTCCCTGTTCACAGAACAAGGTCGCGACCTCTCCCTAGCGCCCGGGACAGCACAGGACAGCACATGTTTGACACTCAGTGAACTGAGGAAATCTTCCTGAATCAGACCACGTGGATGCAGCTCCTCTGTGATCCTGATCTTGCTTATTCTACTTGGACAAGGACCCTTGAGTGATTTGGCCTCGAGTTACAATCCTGGCAGGAGCTGTCCAGGAGGTCATGCCTCCTCTTGCGTGTTGAAATGACCGGGAAGTAGCCCATCTGTGCGTTCACTCCCTGTGGTTCTGTGAATTACCTTTCTTTCTTTCCACGCCAGGGTGGCTTCTGCCTCCACTGCTGTCCTCTCACACAGCACTGAAATTTACTCATGATAGTTGACTTCAGTAAGTGGGTGGCGATTTCCTTACAATGGAGTAAAATTCTATTCTTCAGCAAATTGAGTAAATCATTGTTCTCTGGTTAAACTATCAGATAGTTCCGGGTTTCTCTCTTGCTTAGCCTGTCCCCATTTCAAATTGGTGACGTTTTTCTGTATCTAACCAAAAGCCTGTACACAGGACCTCCCAACCCATCTCTGGCTGTGGGCTGGAGGCAACACTTTGAAAACATTTTTATAAGGTTTCATTCCCTGTACTGTGCTCCCTGGCCTGGGTCCTCAGGAGAATATTGCAGGCATCAGAGCTAAGGCGATTATTTAAATGGCCCTGCTGTCATTTGACTGTGAGGCCAGGGAAAGTAGGGTTAAGCTGTGGGCTGATGGCTGCCCAGTCCCCCATGGCCTCGTGACCCCTCACCCCTCCCTTCAAGCCCTTTGAGAGTCCGACAACTGGCTCAGGAGGCAGCAGCCCCACCGGGCACTGACCTGAGATCAACCCTTTCCTTGGGACCCACAGGGTTGGGTTCTCCACTCTCATTCAGTTATGCTCTCCTTAAACCCCCAAAAGGTGGGTCCATAACATTCCCACCCCAGCTTCCCAACAAGCAGTCCTGCTGAGACAATGGTTTCATCTCTTTTCTCAGGGAGAGAAAACACCTGTTCTACTTCTAGGTGGTACAGTTGACCCTTGAACAATTCGAGGGCTAGGGGCGCCGCACCACCCCCATCCAGTTTAAAATCGTGTGTAACTTTGTCTTGCCCAAAACTTAACTACTCGTAGCCTAATGTTGACGGGAAGCCTCACCAATAACGTAAACAGTTGATTAACACATATCTTGTATGTTCTATGTATTACATGCTATATCCTTACAATAAAGTAAGCTAGAGAAATAATGTTGGTAAGAAAGTCGTAAGGAAGGTAAAATATATTAACAGTACAGTGCTATGTTTATCGAAAAAACATCTCTGTGTAAGTGGGCCCACGTGGTTCATTCCCGTTGTTCAAGGGTCACCTGTATTTGTCAGCTCACTTGCCTCGTCACAGTAGGTCAAAGCCCCAGAATCCAAGAACATATACCTGTGTACCACTGTGTAACAGTATGACCAGAAAAACAAAGTGATGGATGAAACAAAGCAATGAATCATTAGAGTCAGAGGGAAAGATGCTCTGGGCTGGAGCAGAGCCACAGTGGGTACACGTCTGTGTCCCAATTACAAATTGCCTGCAAATCCACTCACCATGCACTTTTGGTTGAAGTTGGTAAATATTCAGTGAAAATCAGCTTGAGCCTTGCACTTGACTTGTTAACAAAGGTTATTTGGCTGGATTCCTAACGCGTGTGTCCCCTTTTCTCTTTTTAACTCTCACCAGTAAAATATGCGCAAACAGGAACTCATTTTTCAAATTTTGTCTCTTGGAAAAAAACCACACCTGACTTTAGAAAATCCAGAACCCCAGTGGCAACAGCATTTGATATGTGTCCCCACCTTCACCCCGTAGCGCGTGACATCCAAGAACGGACTTCAGCCCTTCTCCCCAGACTCTAGCTAATCAGTGGACGCTCCAGGTCCCCAGAAGTGCAGGACTGGCACAGAACTGGAAATCCACTTACCTTGAAAGTTGTTGCAGACTCAGGACTGGCAAGAACCAAAGGCGAAATGAGGACCATGCCGGAGAAGAGGCCCGGTCTCTCTGCGGCCGTAAGGATGGTGATGGCACCTCCCTGCAAAGGAAAATGCATGGAGGCTGCTTTCACCAGCACACATGTCTCTAAGGAGCACCATCCTGAGCTACAGTCCTGGCCCGGAGCCCTGACGAGGTCTACCTTGGAATAGACACCATGGAATGTTGGATAAACTGGATCTGCAATTATTTTATTACACATGTTTTTTTCTCTGGGTTTTCCAAGAGCAAACATTTCAGAGAGATATAAATAAGGTTCCTGCTTGTGGGCTGCAAGTTAAATAACACATTCCTACTTCGTTTCAAGCCAAAAGCTGGCAGACCCCCAATTCAGCCACTCCGTCAGGCTTAATATGAGATCTGTGTTTTTGTGATCTGATTAGAAAAAGAGATCACGATACTTTTTTTTTTTTTTTCCCTCTCTTCCTGGTTCAGTAAAGGTCCCAGAAATTTAGATTAGGTTCCAAGAAAAATACTTAGTGAACACGAATGGTGCTGAAATCATGAGGTCTTGGTTGTTTGCTGATGCTGAGGGTAAGTGGAACCAAGAGCTGAAGTTGCAAATGCTTATAGAACCCAGGTAGGTAACAAATGTCGGAAGCAAGACGGGCTGTGATGAAGGGGCAGCATCCCTGCCCCAGGGTGAAAAGTCCCCCGCTCTACCCCACATCCAAATTGGATCAGTTCAGAGTTCTCTGCCAGCCAACGTGTCAGGTTGTGCCCTTGGGGCCACCAATTTGAGGACCACGGATTTAAAGATGACACTTGCTTGATTCTTAGAGGATTTTACACATTTGAAAGATTAAAAGGATTCTGGGTGACTTTTAAGGAACTGTCTCCCTGGGGAGACTATGTCCCTAGTTCCCATCTGTACTGTACAAGCTGGGGCAGGAACACGATGTCAGGGAGCTTCCCCTGTGCTTCTCACTGACCCAACGAGGCAGCCCCGTTCTGAGAAGTGGGTCTGTGGGGAGAAGGGCCCTTGGGGGGCCTCCCTGTGAAATGGCACTGAGGGGCCAACAGAGCTCGGAAGAAACATTGGTTTCCTGAGAGGTCCCACACCAGAGGTCCTCAGTGAGGACTGGCAGGCAGCCTCCTGGAGCCTTGGGCCCTGATGGGAAGGAAGGGGCCCCTGACAGCCCTGTCTGGGGCTGTCTCCAGGATTCTGCCCTGGTCCGTCCTAAGCACTAAATTTCCCGGGAACTCCAAGTACGGGGCACGCAGAGGCAGACGTGCCGGCAAGGCAGAGAGCACCCGGGGTGGGGAGGTGGGGCTGCCTCTTCTCCATCACTGGGTTATCACACCTCACACCCCAGGCTGGGGATCCAGCTTGACCTGGGCCGGGTCTTCCTGTGCTCTACTTACCATGGAGTGGCCCAGCAGGAACACAGGAAGCCCCGGGTAGTCTTTCTGCATGATATCCACGTGCTGTAGCACATCCCTGATGAAAACGTGGAAGTCAGACACTACCATCCTCTCCCCTTCGCTCTGTCCATGGCCAACTGGAAGGGAAAGGGAGACGAGAGAACCACAGTTACCGGGAGGCTGACAAAGCCCACTCTTTACTGAGGACCTGAATGGGTCACCCCCCGCCCCCGCCCCTTGAATCCTTTCTTTGCAACCGCTGTCCGACGTGGGAATCCTCTCCCCATTTTACAGCTTAGCAAGTTGAAGCACAGAATGGTTAAGGAACCTGCCCAAGATCACACGACCAGGAAGTGACGAGCCAGCGCACAAAGACTGCCCGTGCGGCCAGGACGCTTTCCTTGTTTCCAAGGAAGAAAGAAAAGGACAGGTGCACCAAGTCTCACCAGGCCCGATCTTCCACCAAGTGGCCGGGACTAAGATTGATGGGGCTCGGAATTTTCTGGGGTTTTCCCACTTTCTTAATCCTCACAGTTGTGTTTCAGTGTTAGCCTTTCACCAGGTAAAGTGTTGCATCCTGTCACCTCACTTTACAGCTTTCAGTGACGCTAACATGACAGATATGCGTTAGGATGAAATAGTCAGGTGCACTTGCCAGAAATCTCGACAAAACCGCAGGAAAACTAGGTCACAGTGCATTCCTCCTGTGTTTTATTATCTGCCACGTTTCTGGGCTGTTCGTTCCCCCTTGTTCTTTTCTTAGGGTCTCTCCACGTTTTCCCTCTCTGAAGGACATCAGTCGCTATAGAAACAGCTTGCTCGCTGCTGAGGCTTCCTTATTCAGGCTGAAAGCCACTGATGCAAGTATTTGAAAGTCACAAAAAAGAACAGGGGCCACACAGCCAGGGTATCTGCCCAAACCCTTCCTGCCACCTCTGCAAGGCACCTGTCACGGTAATAATGATGGCAGCACCCATTTCACAGATGGAAAGGGTAAGGACTTACTGCCATGAATCCCTGGCCCTGGTGTCCTGGCCCCACCGCCGGGGGCAGGCACGCGGGGTCGCTGCACACCAGCTCTGTCACCTGCTCGGTGGCACCCTCTACTCTCTTGCCCCTCTGAGGATTTTTTCTCCCTTCTTAAATTTATTTTTATTTTTTTATGGTGGTAAAATATACATTACACAAAATGTACCATCTTAACTTTTTTTTTAGCATACGGTTCACTGGTATTGAGTACATTCACAGTCTCGTGCTGCTATCACCACCGTCCAGCTCCAGAACGTCCCACACTCGTGGTTATGGGCTGAATTGTGTCCCTCCAAAATTCTGGTGTTGAACTCCTAAACCCCCGCAGCTCACCATGTGACTGTATTTGGAGGCAGGGCCTTCAAAGGGCGGATCTCATTAAAAGAGGCCATTACAGTGGGACTTAACCCTATCTGACCGGTGTCCTTGAAGGCAGAGGAGAATTGGACACGGGGACATCAAGAGCACGTGCACAGGGGAGAGACCATGTGAGAACACGGGGAGAAGACGGCCATGTGCGAGCCAAGGAGAGAGGCCTCAGAAGAAACCAGCCCTGCCCACATCTCAGTCTTGGGCTTCAGGCCTCCAGAGCTGTGAGAGAATAAATGTTTGCTGTTTAAGCCGGTTATTCTGGTGCTTTGTCATGGCAGCTGAGCTGACTGATACACCCATTGAACAACAATCCTCCATTCCCCTCCCCCACCCCCCACCCCCACCCCACGGTCCTTAGAATATAGTTCAGTAATGATATGGCCAGAGTCTTATTTTTCTTTTTTTTTTTCAAAATTTTTTTTTCAACGTTTTTTATTTATTTTTGGGACAGAGAGAGACAGAGCATGAACGGGCGAGGGGCAGAGAGAGAGGGAGACACAGAATCAGAAACAGGCTCCAGGCTCTGAGCCATCAGCCCAGAGCCCGACGCGGGGCTCGAACTCACGGACCGCGAGATCGTGACCTGGCTGAAGTCGGACGCTTAACCGACTGCGCCACCCAGGCGCCCCTTATTTTTCAAGTTCAAGTTATTCAAATGTGTCATAATTATTTTCTCTGTGTGCTTCTAATTTGATACACAATTAGATTCATTAATTTCAAAATAAATTCGATCCCAGCTCTAAGTTTCGCTTTTCAATTTAATTTTCTTTTCCGAATACATACGCATTGACCTGCTACAACAGTTAGAAATTTATAAAAAGATTCAGCCAGCCACGTCTTGCTTCTATGCCTATCTATTCGATCTTTCCCTCTTGTTCCCTGTGGTTCACCACTCTAGTCATTTTCTGGTTTTTCCTCGAAGCGTTTCTTTTTTGCAGAAATATGAAAATCGTCTCTCTTTTTTAAGATACGTTTTTTAAATGTTTTATTTATTTTTGAGAGAGTGCACAAGCAGGGGAGGGTCAGAGAGAGGACAGAGGATCTGAAGCAGGCTCTGCGCTGAGAGCAGCGAGTCTGAGGTGGGGTTTGAACTCACAAACCATGAGATCATGACCTGAGCTGAAGTCAGATGCTCAACTGACTGAGCCACCCAGGCGCCCTGCTCTTTTTTTTTTTTAAGTAGTGTTCACATCCAGCCTGGAGCCCAAGGTGGGGCTTGAACTTACAACCCTGAGATCAAGACCTAAGCTGAGATCAAAAGTCGGGTGCTCAACCGATTGAGTGACCTAGGCACCTTCTTTCTTTCTGTCTATCTATCTATCTATCTATCTATCTATCCATCTATCTTTCTATGCTTATTTTCCCTCCTTTCCTACATTAAAGGTAGCACGCCACATGTGACTCTACAACAACTAGGCCCCCCCCCCCCCCCCACTTTCCTCGATCGGCCAGAGATGGGAGAAGGCTGGTCTCTCTCAGTCTTGCCAACAAAGCGAGTCTGGATTTTTACCAGTAAGATAAGAGAGAAAGGGTAGATAGAACATCTCCTCAGGAACAAGTTGTATTTCTTTTGTGGTGAACTGAGAATTCATGTCTTTGCTTATTTTTTCTGTTAGGGTCTTACATTTCATCTTGGTACTTAAGAGCTTTCTATATGCTAGTTATTCATTCGTACTTTGATTTTGTTTATGCTGTGTGTGGCTGTGCAGAAGTTTAATTTTTTTGTTTTTATTATCTTTTAATTTTTTTAATGTTTATTTATTTTTGAGAGAGACAGAGCATGAATGGGGGAGGGTCACAGAGAGAGGGGGAGACACAGAATCCAAAGTGGGCTCCAGGCTCTGACCTGTCAGCACAGAGCCCCATGTGGGGCTCGAACTCCCCAACTGTGAGATCATGACCTGAGCCGAAGTTGGACGCTTAACCTGAGCCACCCAGGTGCCCCAGAAGAGTTTTATTTTTAAATAGTCAAACGATCAATCCTTTCTTTTCATGGCTTCTGAGTTTTGATTCTTGGCTGTAAAGGCTTTCTCCACCTCAGGGTTCTAAGGTAGGTCAGTCACATGTTGTAAGTTCTTTTACGGTTTCATTTCAGTCATATGTTGTGACTTTACGGTTTCATTTCTTTTTTTTGTGGTTGTACATAACATGAAATTTACATTAATCACTTTGAAGCGTTCGGTTCAGTGGCATTAACGATAACTCACAATGTCGTACAACTGCTCCCCTCTATCAAGCTCCAAAACGCAGATGCGTCTTAATTGTCTTAACAGAATTCAGGAAAAAGTCCTTCATGACCTCATGGTGAGCTCATTCTTGTCATACATGAAAGTTCCCTTTTCAGTTGAATCTAGTCTATTTCTGGATTTCTGTTCAGTTCCGCCGGCCTGCTTATTTGTGAGTTAGCCCCTATTATTAAACATGACAGTATCTGCCCATCCTTTCTACATATTAGGTGCAGGAGGCCCTGGTCACGCCCCAGGTTTGCCCTTGCTCATGTCTGTGGCTCCCGTGCTCTGGCTCTCCTCCTAATGAAGATGTCTCCTAGCCACACAGTCTCTGGTTCCAGGCTCTTTCCAGAGCTGCAGATCTGTCTTGCCATCCCCTGGTCCTAAAGATTCCTGATGGTCACATGGCCCCTACACTGCTTCTCAAACGGGCTCCCCTCCTGGGTTCCACATGGTGGTTCACAGCCCCATCATCTTTCTGAATCATTCAGGCCAAAACAGAGCTGTGGTCTTTGACTTTCATTCTATCCCTACATCCAGCTGGTCCCTGAATCCTTCCAGACTTCCAGATGCACAGCCTCCTGAACCAGTCTTCTTGTTTGCACAACCACATCCCTCGCAGGGGGTGAGACCCATGTTGCCTTTCACTGCCCACCCCCTCCTCAAGCTCTCCCGGCTCCAACCTGCTGGGCACTGCTCCGCCTTGTCTTCTGGGCACTGTTCTGATCTTGAAGTGGCCAGACTTTCCCCACTTTTCAGAACTCAGTCTGCACATTCCAGGCCAGCATTCGGGGCCTCCGCTAAAGGCTCCCACTCGTCCCTCTGCCTCCACAAAAAGCACATTCCAAGCCACACTGCCAACCACCTGCCCACTGTTCCTCAAAGCACATCCACTTCCTGCCTCGTGCCTCTCATGGAACAGCCCTTCTGCCACAGTGCCCTCCCTCCTGCACCAGGCCAGGAGCCAAGTCCTTCAAGACCAGACTCAAATCCTATCACTTCCATGATGTCTGCTGCAATCCCCTGGATGCAGGTGTGAGTTTTTCCCCTTCCGCACTCCCAAAGCACTTCCGGTCTCCATCAAACGTGGGTTGATGAGACTTTCCCCCCTTTCTCTCCTCCAGCATCCCCCCACCACGGACTGAGGGCCCCTGGAGCCAGGGCGACAAAAGCCCTGATTAGTGGCTGACCCCCCCCCCCACTGCACTCTGCTCTGGAGGATTCTAAGGCGAGTCTGGCTGGACTGGGCAGAAAAGAAGGCTGTGAGTAATTAGTGATGTCTGCCTGTCTGCCACAGACACGAAAGAGGAGATTCGGCAGGCATGGACCCCACATTCGCCAGGCTGTCCTCGTGAGCAAGGATCCTATTTTATTCATCTGCATATTCCCCAGGGCTCCATGCACAGACCCCACGGAAGGTAGGTGCTTGATTAATGCCTTTCACGTGAATTGTAGGCAGTATTTCCATAATGGCCACTCATCAAAGAGATTTAACCCCATGACTCCAC